AACGGATTGGATTGGTTCCAATTTTTCAAGAACCGTAGATAATGGATTGGTCCTGATTTTACCCCAATCCGGTCCAATCCGGACCATGCTCACCCCTAGTTGGGGCACAATGCAGTGTAGTTTGCAGATCTGCAGCAACAACAACACCACCAGTGTCCAATATCAACGCCTCTGGATCGCCGCTCCTCAGACGGCTCGGCGACGCCATTGAAGGTCGGATCCGGTGAAGGTGGAGTTCAATCGGTTGGAGAATGAAGTCAGAGCTGAGGACACAAGAGTTGATCTGGACAGGTATGAGAATGGAGAAGTTTAGAGAGAGAAAGTGAGAGATGAGTTTTGATTTGGTAAGGTCAAATTTCTCTGTGATATGTTTAGGGACCTTAGACATCAAAAAAATAATTTTGTGAATCTCTCCCATTATGAAAAGTGGGAAAGGGACCCTAGACCAATTTTCCCTTAAAAAAATAATATAATTAAAAATATATATAATATACACTTTTCATGGGTATGTATATAAGAATTTTCCATTTTTATTTCTACTGTAATTAATCTGCCGATTCCTCTTTACTATGCTATGAATCAAATGAATTACTAAATTTTTTATTTTTAGTAATTCATTTAGAACCTTTACAACCAAGTAATTCATTTAGAACCTTTACTAATCCAACCAAATAAATAAGATGCGTTTCTTTTATTTTTTCCTTAGAAATCACACCATCCAAACAACCTAAATCGTAAATGCGTAATTAGCAAGAGACCAAAATCACACACCAAGAGAGAGAGAGAGAGAGAGAGAGATGAACAGTGTATGGATGTGACAAAAACGGTAATGGCAAACCCTAGAAAGAACTCATATTCAGTTTTTTCAAACAATCAGACCTCAGACACCAACAACAATCCATCTTCATCATCATCTCAGGTTCAAACCCTAACAACACTATCTTCATTGAAATTATTCTTGAAGAAGCCCCATGCTTTCCCATTCCTTCTCTCTTTGTTCCTCCTCCTCACTTGGGTCTCTCTTAGACTCCAACACTCTGCTCATTTCTCATCCCCTCCACATCTCACTCACCCTCGCCAATGGAGCAGAGACAGAGTTGATGACGACGATCACAAGGTCAATCTCCTCAGGTTCTCATCTGCATATCCTTCTCGCATCACCAAAGACAACCGTGGATGGTTGCTTGATCCCATCTCTGTTGCCCGCAATGCTGCCATTTCAGGTTTCTCTCTCTCTCTCTCTCTCTCTCCCCCTCAAAGTCCCCTTGATATATGTATATATATATGTGTTTGTGTATTGATGAGAGAGAAAACAGAGCAGGAATGAGAATTCTATGAGCTGGAATTCCCTATTACTATCAATAATATTCATGTGTTTGTCAATGTGTGTTTGATCTGGTTTGAAATTGATTAAATTTTATGAGTCCGTCTATTTATTTTATTTGGTATAACAAGTGAGAAAGGAAAAGAAATAATTGTGGTTTCTCATCTTGGTGAGAAAAAAAGAGATGGGTAAGAAAGCAGAGCATGTGAAAGACCGATATGAGTGATTTTTGTATTTTAAATTTGAAGAATAATCTCAGTATTATGAAAATTTTGTAATCAATGGGTTTGTTTCTCACCAAAGCTCACAAATTTTGGTGAGAAATGAAATAGGAAAAATATGGGATTTTTTTCTTTTTCGGCCACAATTTCTCACCTAATTTATAAGCCAAACATGAGAAATAGTTTTATTTCTCTTCATTTCTTGACATCTTATCACCAAATCACCCAATTCAAAATGTACCTTCATTCTGAAATGAGTCATATTCCTCTAGGAATTGAGATTCCCACTAGTGTGGTTTCTCATTTTACCTTAGGAACCGAACCGAATTAGGCATTACATTCACATTCTTGGACGCATCCAAACAATAGATTGTAAGTGAGTTGGAATGAGATGCTCATTCTGCCTCTCCATTCCTGCATCTGAACATGACCTATATGTATATTCAACATAGATGAGTTTGTTTTTTGTTACAGGGGGAGCTGTGAATTGTGCTTCAACTTCACCTTGGAGAAATTCGACCTGGTAGTTTGAGGGGAAACCACAGACACTATACCTGTAATGAGACGTTTGTCATTTGGGGGGCTAAAACAATATTTAGGGTATGCTTCCAGTTCCCTTCTCAAGTACAAATGTTGTTATGTAATGCTTTTCTTTTTCTTTTTCTTTTAATTAATTAATTAATTATTTATTTGGTAGTATGCAGTATAAGATGGAAGTTTAGTAGATTTCTTCTTGGAAAGTGATTTGATTTCTATTGCAACAAGAGAGGCCTGTTATTATAACCCTTTTGATTATCAAAAAGAGTGAGAGAAAGGAACAAAAGCTTAAGTCAACATCTTTCTCCAGATTCCAGTCCTCCTAAGAACCAGATGGAGAGCAAAAATTAATTCTATATGATGTTTTTTGGATGCTAACTTCCCTTTTGTTGTAAACATTGCTATCTATTTCTCTTGAATTTACAGGCCCAACTAAGAGGCTAAAATACCCCATCCTATGTCATGGGGCTAAAATAGAACATTCAAATAAATAATAAATAATAATTAAAAAAAAAGCGTGGATATGAACATTTAAATGAAGATATCTTGCATCTTACATCTTAATGTCTGATATTCTTTTGGTAACAAGTCATCCAGTCTTAGCGTTACTAATTATCTCAGCTGAGATCATGTCTATCGATGATGGTTATGCTGAGGTAAACTATTGGAGCTGAGAGGTCGTCCTGTGGCAACGCAGCCCTCATGGAATGGCACATGCCTTTTAAATAAATGTGGATCCTCAGCAGAGTACTATTCTTCATCGGTGCCAAGTACATGAAAATATTGATTATAGGTAACTCTATTCGATTTTAACGTTTGGAAAAGTCTTTAAGTGTTTCCTTAGGCCATTGTGACCATTCTGTGTTCCATTATCTATGAATTGGAATTTCACTTTCATCTTGGAATGTCTGCTAAAAAGTATTTCAAAGTAAGTTTTCATATATATAGATATCTAGGTAGTGATACACATTCAGGCATACATGTTAATAGTAATGCACAGTTGTCTGTTCTATGGCTTATGTTGTTGTCATCCAATTCTTGGTTTTAATTCTGCCTTAGTCACAATGCAGTTCTGCCTAGATTAAATTTTGTTGAATGAAGATGCTCATTTATAGCTTATGGCCATTATGGATTTCTGCTTGCTTACTGAAATTGATGTGAAAGCACCACTTGTATGTCCAACATACATCGAAGTACATGCAGTATTGTATATCTGGCATATCATCATTGCAATGTGACTGTGCATTGTGTATATGGACTATGCTCTGGTAAGGGTGCTTTCTGGTTTGTCTTGATCCAGGCGTTTTAATTAACAAAAAAAATAAAACTGTTCTTAGCTGGTGGAAACATCCTGCATTTTGTAAGGGCTACTTTTACTTTGTGACTATTTTTTTGTTTGAAGAGCACAACTTAGATTTTTTTTGCAGGTCCAATACAACCTGAGTTGTCTTGTTAGTTTTACTCTTTTTATTTGACAAGTAGATTTATCCTTCTTATCTTGTTTATTGATGATTTGTTTAATAATAGTCCACTGTTATTGAGGTTGAAAAGCAATAGTAAATAGAAGATCTTTAATGAATATGTTGTTAAAATTTGGAAACAATTGTGAGAATTTCATTAAATATAGGAAAAAAGAAAAAGATCCTATATTGTAGAAACAAGTATGAGCCCAAAACTAAATTTGGTTAGAAAAGTGCTTTGAGTTTTAGTTTTTGTGGCTGAAATAAGGTGTCTGCGGAGTAGTTTTTAATGAGTTTGCTTGGAGTAATAAAGGGAAAAGGGCTTCAAGCATGAAGGGTGGATTTTGCATCTAGGGGCTGTTCTGAGATGCTATGAACAGACCGGGAAACATAGGATTTTTGAATTTATTTGTTGCGGCTGAAAAGGTGGTAAGACGTGAGTTTTATGAGTTTGGTTTGAGTAATAAAGGGGAAAGGGTATAAGCAGAAAGAGGGGATTGGCATCTGCTTAGGAGTTTTTATGAGTATGTTGGAGTAATAAAGGGAAAGGGTATAGTGAGCATGAAAATGTGGATTTTGGCACTGCTAGGCCCTGTTCTGGGTGCAATGAACAGTAGCCTAGAGCCTAAACGTGTAAACCTTCCTGATCATAAATAATGAGGAGGAAGGCTTTAAGATGGAATCAAATTACTGCTGAAATCTATATTCAATTGCTCTAAATAAATCTAAAAACTTGAATGAATATATTGTATATGCCCAAGCGTCACACAGATTCAAAAGTCAATCAAAATTCAATTATAATATAACATCACCAGAATCATACAACATCGTGTTGACCGCTAATCTACAAATAATCGAGGAATCAACTAAATCGATCTCACCAATATAAGTAGGAGATAGTTTGTGACCATATGTGACCATCCGGGCTTATACTCAGACAAAGTGTGAGTTTTATAAGTTATGTTATTTAGCTAGAAAAGTAAGCACTTTGGAAAAATCGGCAAAGAAGGGAAAAAAAAAATCAGCAAAAACAGTTTTGAAGTGTAGGATTGTAATTGACTCTGATCTACAATCTGGATCCTAAGTTGAACAAATTTCTACTCGCTATTGATTTTAATGTGATCCCAAGCTCGATTTTAATTTCGGTAGTTTCACAATTTTTACACTATATCTTATGAAATGTCAAACATGATTAAACTTCTTGCGAAAAAAGTTTAGAAGAGAAAGATCTCTTTCATGCTCTATAGATCATTCATGCCAACATTTTTCTATTTGTTTTGAGTTTGAATTGCCCCTTTAATAGATGTAGTACAGAAGAGGAGTGGCGACAAAATGAAAAGACAATTTTTTTTCTTTCTTCTTGCCAGATTTGTATTGTGCAGCACTGTTCCATAATGTGAGAGTGATGGAGCTTTGTAGACGAACCTTTGTGGGCATTCTAATGGGTGTAGGCTTGCACAAGTGAACAAAGGCTAGGCCCGACTGAGGTTGGTCGAAAAAAATCCCCTCTTTTTTTGAAGGTTTCCCCAAGGTCAATACGAAGTTTGGTAAGAGAAGGTAGAGAAGAGTGTATATGAGTGATAGAGAGATCGATCCCTTGCAGAGGAGAGGAGGTACTTTTATAGGGAAAATGCCTTAAGCTGCTCACCACGAGCTCTTCTCTCTACCACTTGACACTCAATCGTTATGGCTAAGCTCATCCTGCTCTCTGTTAGTGCGTTCCGTTATTCGCGGTGTTGTAGCTTGGCGCCACATGGAGTAAGGAAAGGACTTGCCTCGGTCCATGGCTTCCCAGCTTCGGATTGGGAATAGGCGCAAGGCTGAAACCCTTATGCTTCGGTCCTTCTTAAGTAGTGGGGGAAGGGACCCACTCGGAGGTGGGGACTCTTTCCTTAGCCAAGCTAGGTCTTACATCAACGGGTTTGA